GCCAACATGGCGAGCTGTGCTGCTGAGCACGCTTCCTGCACTGGCTCTCTGCAGCGCCGCGATGATACTTGCCAAACCAAGTACAACTCTTGCCGTACCGCCCCTGACGCCAACATGTCCAGCTGTGTCTCCGACCACGCCAGCTGCTGCTCGACCGCCTACGACGAGTGCCGTGGTGCCCCCGACGCCAACATGGCTCAGTGTGCCGCCGACAACGCCGCCTGCAAGAACCAGGCATAAGCGCCTCGTTGGCCTTGCCACCAGTCTTGCTGTCCATGGGGGCTTCTTTATGATACCCGGAAAGCAATCTTCTGACTGTGACTTGTTCACTGAGTGTATATATAGCTGTGCCTAGTTAATTGTTCCTTGTCACATGGTTGTCGGTACTTAATACGTCATCAAATAGCTTATTGAATCTGTTCCTCGTTGTTGTACCTAAATGTCTCCATGAAATAAAATCACCCAAAAATTAGTATGGTTCTTCAGCATTCAGGACCCAAATCCCATTGCAACACTCACTTAATTGTAACTCACTCCGGGCCTCAAAGTCCGACAAACCGCGGTGAATCAGCTGCGCTGAAAGTGGCGCGCCACCCAGACACATACTCACCCTCAAGCCACAAATTTGTTCGAGACTATGCTCCAACCGCTCTCGGTCTCGTTTAGAACTCGTGACCCTAATATGCAAAGAGTATATCGTCAAGATAACAAACTGTATGGTCAGAATCTACTGATCCACGTGAAGTATGTATCACTGGGTATATCGGCCCCGCCAGGCTACGTAGGCAAGTAGGATCAATAAGGTAATAGGTAGAAAAGCAATGCCAATTGAATTTGTCGACAGCAAAGATAACAACTGGGTAGGAGATCAAAAAGCGTACCTGTCGGTGAAACTTTGGTGTAGTTTTAATCTCCCACCTGGACCCTACTCTTGCCTGCAATATACATTGGATTCGTGTGAGCACTCGGAGAATCAGGTCATAGCGGATCAGCAGAGATGTCCTTTCGAAATGAGCTTGCATGAATTTGTTGCTTTTGGCTGTCTTCGTACGGGAAACAGAGTACAGCGGCATAACATGATTCGCGAGCTAGCGTTGTCTACTCTTTCAATGAATGAAGAGGCGATAGGCGTGTTGTTCCGTCAGGCAGCGTGGGAATCCAGCACCCCAAGCCCTGACTCAGAGCTGAGAGAGGCCCATCTAGCATTCGCACACAATGGCTTAGGTGATCGACTTTTGGAATACTTGGATCAAAAACTCGGCTCCATTGAGGCCAACTGGAATGAGCATCACACTCTGCACACACTCGTCATTCTTGGCCTCCGGGCCCTCAGTTTGTTAGAAGGGTTCTCAACTGTTGAACGTGCGGTAACATTTTTACGTCGGAGCCGAAAGACCAGTTTAAAGTGGTGCGAGGACCTGGCCGCAACCCTGGGCACTCAAACAGACGCACACAGTAAAACACAGCAGTTGCTTATTGTCAATATCGGGGGGTGTCTGTCAACTTACGTATGCAGTAGAGCCGCAGCACCTTCCACTTCTCCTGGCAAATTGTCCTCCAGGCCGCCTACCTCAGGAGTACACTAGCCATGCATTATTTCAGCGCATATTCGGCAACGTGAGAAACCCCATCTCTTCCTGTTCCCAGGGTCTAAACTAATCTGTATAGCGAACTCTTACGGTGCTGCCATCAAATCTAAATGGATTGACATCCATGTCTACATTCCATTATGAAGGATACAAAGTTAGTTTACTTTTACATCTATAGCGAGCGAGGTAGGAACTAACCTTGGTCCGCAGCTCCATTTTTCGATGGAGGCGGGTGAGCTTGTCGTCAAAGCCCAAGCGGAGCAGCGATTACTACAGCTTATTCCGCACGACAAGTTGACTGGAGACTTTCCAGGGAATTTAGTCTTCAACTATGTGCATTGGCTCAACTTGGAGAATGGCACGCTCGAATTCCGTCCGCTTGAGCAAGCATGGAGCCCACAATCGAGCAACTGGCACCTGTCGTTTGGTGCTAAGCCGGGAACAATATCGACCATGACCCAAGGTCATCGAACATTGGTTGATATGCCACGTGATCCCCGTATTCTACCGCATGATAAAGTGGGGTTTGGCCCAGTTTGTTCTTATTGTTGATCATGATTCGAGGGTCCGAGAGGAGAAGTTGGAAGATGTAATACTGCTGGTACTCCAGAGCCACCTCAAGTGGGCACTGACTTGTCGGGCTTCGACCATTGATATCAATGTTCGATAGAACGAAAAGCCGCTTCACGATCAAGTCATTTCCCCGGCTGATCGCGATGGACAAGGCTGTCGTACCGCCTTTGATGGGACATGAAACGTCAACAGATCTCAAGTTGAGCAGAAGGTCGGCCTCCTCCCAGTACCCTAGTTCTGCAGCGCGTATGAGAGGTGCTAAGCCCCCAGATGTGGCATTGATGTCCGCATGATACTTGGAGCCGACTGCATCTTGGGCGGGCGGAAGTGGTTTGATCGAGAACCGCCGGCCCTTGTTCCTCCATTAGTTCCAACATTGTCGAGGAAATGAATTCATCGAAGGGGTCGAGCTTCAGGGGCACGGGTTCGAGGGATGAAGAAATCATGATCCAGGTGTCATTTGAGGTGATTTTCTCACCCACATTCCCGTAACCCTCATACGCATATGGTTCATCATTGTAGGCCATGCTGAAAGATCAGAAGGGTCGAGAAGGACGCGAGTATAAAACGAAACCCTGCAAAGCTCCTAAAGGGCGCGCTAGAAATGCTGTACTTGCGAAAGTGATAACAAGCCCAACAGATTCACTTGCTGTAGCCGGGTTTTATTTCTCAAGCCACGTAGTTCTCCGTTGTATTTGATGTCAGAACATCTAGCAAAATGTAGATTCGGGATCCTGGGAGCGCGCACTAATTCTCCCGGGAACAACGCGATGTGATCCTAGGAACAAAAGATCAAGCTCCTCGGAGCGATTTCAGTCCCAGTAGCGCGTACAGTCGCTCCCAGGAATCCGCACTTGAAGAAATTGCGCCTCGCGCTTTGCAAGCGATGGCATAAAGAACGTGCAAAGAGCCTGAGCGGAATGTGGCTCGAAAAAACGCCGAGAAACACCGCAGGCAGTACGCGCAACTACGCCGGGCGAGAGCCAGGGTTTACACGTGGACCTATCAGACCATAGGCAACAATGGCCTACCGTCACGCAACGCGAGAGCAGTTGCAAGGCATGAAGATCATGAAGTTCTTACGGTCGACAATCTTCGCAGAGGTCAAGTCCCGTGGGAGGTCCCGCAAGATCAACACCCAGTCAGTCTCCGAGTGCACGGTTGAATGGAAGCTTCGGAGTTTCGGAGTTTCGGACCGTTCGCGCATCGCGATCATCTTGAAGAATGCCCAATTTGTCTCGATCCGCTGCAAGAGGGACCGGACGAGAACATACTGCACATTCAAGGCATAATTCCAAGCCAGAAGACAAGAAATGAAGCACTGTGATGAAATAAAGCATCTGATTGCCCCTAGTATTCTCACTACGGTATTCGAAATTTACCACTAACGCAGTGCTAACCCAGCCACAAACGAGCAATGCCAATGTTAGGCAAAAAGTGCCAGCCGGACTGACATGCCCCAAACTGATGGTTTTCTGTATATACTATATTCAATGAAGAGGAAAAGGTCAATGCATGCACTTTTTTTCTGCTCGTAAACCAAATCGGATGGTTTTACGTGGCGGTTCAGTCAAGTTTGTGATGGGTGGATTCGAAGACAAACAAACATCCAATAAAAACCAAGAGAGCCTCAAGATCCCGGTTGTATGAAGACGGGCATGTGGAAATTTAACGTGGGCTAAGTTAGGGCATGCAGCATGGGAACGTGGCCTAGGCGGACTGGCATGTCTTTGGGTGGAGTCAGCCTGTGCTTATGGTAGCTACTGTTCAATTCCTCTTCTCATCAACGGGAGTGGATTGACATCACCCTCGTCCCAGCTGAAAAGTGGAGTCCTCGATAGCGGAAGCAATACGCCTGAGATGTGTAACAGTGTGATGAGATAAGTCTGCTCAGTGGTTCCTGATTGCGTATTCGCATGTGACAATATGATCAGTCGTGGCGTTGCTGAGATGGCAGGGACATGCTCAACTTTCGCGAGGTCACGCTTTGCGACTAAAGGGCAGAAATGAGATTCATGCAGTATTCATGCCGCTTATCACAAATACAGTGGGTCATCCTGCCGTTTTGTCATTCGCTCAAGCCTCTTCTCAGCCAGCCACGAATCACTGGCTCTGGCTCACACCGACGTACCATTGCAGGTTGTAGCTCTAGCGGAATAACTACTAAAAGATACGCTGTTCTCAAAGGACGCATCTTATATTTGATTACCCCTCAAATCCAAGTCTCGGTTAACTTTGTCGATACTTCAAAGATCGGCCATCGATGGTAGAACTGGACATGAATACTACAACTATACCTCCTAATGATCCTGAAAGCCCACGGTGGCTTCTAGACCTGGAGAAATGGGAGATTCTACCCTACACCGAAGTTCCACAAGAGACACTTGACGCTGAAGGCTATGGTGTTGTGTCTTATACCTGGGGGTACATCCAGGACTCTGGTAATTCTGCCCCAGACCCCCCTCGAGGTCTCCTTTGGGATGTCCCGGGCGTCACGGAATGGTCTCTATCAGAGGCAAAAGAGGCAATGAAAATGATCGGTACTCGGTACATCTGGTGGGACTGGATGTGTGTTCCTCAGCGAGTGAAGGGCATGAAAGAACTAAGTCGTGAACTTGGGGAAGTCCAAGCCCAGGAGATTGGGAAGCAAATGTCGGTGTTACTTATCCTTACTCTGGCTATTTATTCGAGCTGCTATTTGAAGGAGAAATCAGCTAATAATTCTTCCTGGCTGCAGGCACATCTACGGCAAGGCCAGGAAAAGCATAGTCTGGCTACACTCAACATCATGGACAAAAGAATCGGCCCTAAAGGAACTGCTTCATCTACAATCGCCAGAAGCTGATAGCAAAGAGCCAATAGATATGCAAAAGCATGTTGATCAAGTAACGGTTCAGCTTGACGCCGCTCGCTCGGAAGAACATTGGTTATGTTCAGGCTGGACGTTACAAGAAGGCGTGCTTCTACACGAGACAGATCTCATTGATGGTAGCGGCAACGCACTCCCCGGACCTGACTTCTTCATGAGCGACCAAGCAACTGTCTGTGATCTCACTGTTCCCATCACAAGACTGGCCTATGAGCTGGCTATTGGGTACTTTATCAAATCGCAAGGTCACGAGCCTGACGTGGGCACACCATGTCCTCACACCACCTATTTGTTGTCTAAAATGCCCGACATCTGGCTGCGCCGATCTTTGCAAACGTTCATGGCGTCGGGATTCGTGGGCTTCTGGAAGAACAGCCCCCTTGACATCCTTTCAGGCAAGCGAGGCCGAAAGTTCGGCAATATAAAGGACTCCTGCTGGGCCTTGGTGGGAGCATTGGGAATCGATGATATAGAAGTAACCTACGACAAAGATGTCTCCATGGAAGAAGTGAAAAGGAGATTATTTGCGGCGCTTATCGACAAGTATCAATGGGTGATGTTGTCGTTGCCTTTTCCGGGATTTCGCATTCCGGAAGGAGGGGAACAGAATGCCCCCGAAAGGAGCTTTAGATGGATTGATGTCGCAGATGGAGTCATGCTGCCTGTTCATGCATTCTGTGTGGAACTAAAACCCCAACCGAAATCCTCTCAGGAAAGATTGCCCACCCTCAGCTACACCCACGATCTTCGCATCAAAGGTGACAAAGGCGAGAAAATAACCCTTTATCGTGCATCGGAAGACGGTACTACCTGGTTCCGTCACTATCGCCAGGATAAAGATGGTTTGAAGATAGTGTCTACTAAAGAAGTTGCTTTTGCAGAAGACAGACTACTCTCGGACGCATGGTTGCTTCCCTTGCACCATATCAATATGAAACCTGGCGTGTCGGGAAGAAGGTGTCTTACGTTGCTTGGTCTCAATCATCATATTTCGGATATTCTGCCGGCGCGTGCCAACTTTGGTGGGATTATAGATATAAAGGGTGTCGGACAGGAGAAGGTGGAGGTCGATGAGATTATACTTAATCCTAGCCTGTGAATATATAAGAATGATCCCTGATTTGGCATGATTGTGAGAGGTTGGTGTGCTGCTGTGGTGACAATATTTGGGCGATAGACAACGCGAAGATCCAGTGGGAAAAAAAAAAAAAAAAAAAAAAAAAAAGGGCATCAGGCAAATGATCGGCACTGGGCTTTATAACTATAGCAGTCACACATCTAGGTCAGATGAGCAATTGCAGCAGACAAATTTGTTGCATGGGGAAAAGTGTGATGAGTAGTGTTAGTGGGCGATATGATTAAAATATCAACAATGATTGTGCTGTATTGATTTTCACACCACTGACTTCATATGATTAAACAGTACACCAAGGGTGAAGCAATTGTTTGATTGCTAGGAGAGACATGCCTGTGCAAGTCCGCTATTTCATTACCTTATCCAATTTACTTGTCTACGCAGCCTGGCGGGGGCGATATACCCAGCGACGCATTATTGATACTATTGATTGACCCTGTGAGGCCCTTGAAGATATACAACATAGTGGAGGACACTCAGGTAAGTGCCCTCACTCTCAGACTTAAGCCCTTGTTCGCCCATATTGCTTGTATGGCATCGTTTGATATATTGGCGCTGTTTGTCTGGCGTTGAGCCGTTGAGCCGTCACACAGACTTAACTAACTAGAACCCTAGGTACGATATGAGAGAAGCCAGGTTGTGGCACATGGGTGGTTTTGGCTTGTGGAAAGAGGACAGATTCTTCTCCTTGGTGATAATAGCAAGCACCTAAGATCATCAGCCAGTGCAGGCAGCATAAGTTCAGTTAAAACATTTGATTACACCTTCAATTTTTATAATAGTCTCCTTGCTGAGCCCTTGACCCACTTCACGTTTGTAAACCAGGTGCCAAGTTTTCCAAAAGGTTTCCAAGGAGCTTCTGTATCTGATCCTAGGGGTTTGTTGTCCACTCTTGCCTCACCTTTGATCGCAGCGCCAGCTGAAGAAGGTTTTGAGAAAGCAGACTGTTTCTTCTGTGTCCAAAAGCCATCAAAAATGCTTGGCGGATCTAGATTTCCACCTTGATAAAATCTATCTAGAAAGATTTAGTATCATAACATTAAATTTTAGGGTAGAGTATCTCCTCACTTGTTTTAATAGAATCCGCACAAAAGGCAATTGCAGGGAAGATAGCCATTTCACACCTCCTAAAATAGAATCTGGGTGTTTTGGTGTTGCTGCATGCTGAGACGCCATGTTTTGCCTGATGGAAACAAAAATCGCGCGGGACCATCCTAAGTCTGGGCCTAATCTAGGAAATAACTCGGCAAATGGATGATGGGCGTGGTAATGAGGTCATTGGCCGTGCAAATTAACATACATGGTGCCAAGACCGGTGATTGTTAGCAGGCTGCTTAAAACAGCGTCAAGCGCTGCCATTTTGGGCCACTGGCTAACCGTCTCATTGTTAAAGGTAGTAAAAGTAGTGAATAGCCAGCACTAAGACAGGGCTCTGCGCTAATAAACGACGGACAAAAAAAAAAAAAAAAAAAAAAAAAAAAAAAACCAAAACCAAAACCAACACCGACACCGACACCAAAAAGTCCTCCCCAAGAATTGAATAAGAATGAATATACACGATCATAAACTAGTGAAAAACTGACAGGCCTCGTTGAGTTCTTCATCGTCGCATGCAAAGTCCCATCCGACGATCCTTGGGTCCTGGCTGGCGCAGATGATCTTCCGGGAATCAAACTGCAACTTGAAGACTCTGGATGTGGGTTGCATATTGACTGTTCGAGCCAGGCGGGCTTGGTGGGCTTGGTGAGCTGCGGGTGGAATTGCGTTGATTCTGTGGGCTGCAGGCTGATGCCCGTTAACCACAACCGTGGCCGGTCCCTGTTGGGGAGGCGCTTGGTTGCCCGGGGTTCCTGGCTGGTCGTTCGCAGGTTGGTTGTCTTGAGGCTGTGGATTGGCCTGGTTCTGTGGCATCCGGGGTGCTTGCTGGCCATTGAACTGGGCAACTAAGGGGTGTGGACGGGGGACTTGGACTACCTGTGTTGGTTGGTGATGAATAGCTGGTCGAGAAACCACACTCCGAGCACCGTAGCTCTGATGCGCCTGGGAAGCCCTGGCGGCAGCATCCGCTTGGCGGAGTCTTTGGCTAACAACCCAGTTGCCCTCGCGATCCTTTTTCCAAATGATAACTGTCTCGTCATATGAGCCTGAGACGATCCTGCCCCATTTGCTCCCACCACCTCCAGGTGGAATCTTGGCGCCTATGGCTTTGATGTCCTGGGGTTTTCTGGAACCAGCAACGTTCTGGTGATATCCAGCACGCCTAAATGCACGTGGACCGAGATCAACGACTGCACCAGAGCGCTGCGCATCCCGGAATTCGTTGTCAACTGCCAAGGCTTCCAGCCTCAGAGCCTCGTCAGCCCCCGGAGGGTCGCCAAACCCGGCCTGGACAGTTCTGACTAGCTTTTGATGCCCGTGCAAACAGGCGATTTCTGCGCCCGAGATATGGTCGTAAATCCGGACCGTGTCATCGTTGCTCCCACTGATGATACGCCGACTGTCGATCTGAACGCATGCGATGCCTTTTTCGTGGCCAAGGAGTGTCTTTTTACAAGCTCCGCTCTTGAGATCCCAGATCTTAATCAAGCGATCTCCAGAGGCCGATACAATTTCGTCGCCATGCATCTGGATGGCATTTACAGCAGCCTGGTGTCCATCCAGTGTCATGAGAAGAGAATATGGCGGTAGAGTTTGTATGCGACCATTTGCGATGTCTGCCTCGAGAGCTTCTGGCGTATACTCGCTGGTATCCACAATGTATTCCGGATACGTAACCCCGGGTCCCTTGTGGAATCTAGGATAGTTCTTATCGGCTGCTGTGAGTTCGTGACGGTTCCAGATTTTGATGAGTTTATCCTTGGAGCAAGTGACCAGGTATCGCTCGTCGAAGCGAAGGTTCAGGACGGAATCAAAGTGAGCCGCCGGGATCTGGTGGATCATTTCGCCAGTCGAAAATCGCCAGATGAAGATATGCATGTCGCTGCTGCCCGATATGATGACGTCTTCAGACGGGCTAGGGTCGAATTGGAGACAAAGCACTGATTTTTCGTGGCCGACAAGGGGAGGATAGCGTAACCGTTTGGATTCCAGGTCCCAGACGCGAACTGTTCGATCCCGACTCCCACTTACCAACCATTTCCCGACAAACTGAATGGCATAAACACATTCCAAGTGAGACTCTTCTGGGTGCGATGGGTGAGGTAGCTGAAAATTCTTGTAGCGGGCCATATTCCAGTTCTCCTCTAGTCTCCTGCGCTGCTTGTAAAGATGCGGCCAGTTGATCTTGACGGTACCATTGGGTAATTGAACCCAAATGGACGATTTGAAGGGCGAGTATGGGGTTAACGGACGTGGTATAGTTATGCGCTCGTCGTTTTGGACCAGCGATGCGTCATCGCTCATGAGATGGTCCCCGTCATTGTCGGCCTCTGTGATCGTTGAAGACTCTGCGCGCGAATCCAGCCATGATAGAGGAACGCGCTTTTTGAGCTTCGGTTCACCGACGTCGGGGTCTGCATACCTGATGCGAGATTTGCGATCCCGAGGCGACGACAGTCCTGACTGTTCTTGCTCCGAGTTCCGGATCGCATCGACGTCCACGCGCCATCCTTCGTTGATATATAGCTCTCTCCAAAGACGGGAATCGAATATCCGGCTTCGCCATGATCGCGAAGCCAGCGACGCAGTCAAGAGCGTTTGGGGGTCGAGGTAGGAGAAAATCTCGGATGTTATTTCGGGCGGGAGTTTGACGACAGGGTCTATGTGCAGGAGAGGGTCAAGACGGTCGACTATCTGGGCGACCGTGGAGATGCGCAGGGAGCGTAAGACTCTGTAGGCAAATTCTGATGAAGAATAGAAGTGTCAGTCAACCCCACTCCAAGGCAACATGCAACTCAGGTAGTAAGCAAACAAGACATACCAGCTCTGTCCTGCTCGCTCTGTGCGAGGATCCAGTCGGGGGGAGGCATCGCATCGTTGGCGAATGGATTTATCTCCTGATAGGATGGGCTTTTTGCCTCGTCGGAATAGCCCTCATCGAGTTTGAAGGCCCTCGTGGAGGGAGTGGTGAACAGGGGAGGAGCACCATCGGGCGACGAGGGCCAGAGATAGCTTCCAGGAGGGATCGCGGACTCTTTGTCCATGACCTGGGCGGGTTTTGAAGGTGGTGAATGTGTCTCCTCAGCCATACATAGGGACTAAGAAGGCGACTTTTAAAAAAGATGTTCTCGTTGGGTCGTTAGAGTCTGACGCGAATAATAAAGATGAGGCTTGTTGGTTGTTGATAAGATGAGAACAAGCAAGCGTGACTAATGACAGGTCAGACGTCACTCAGCCAAGGAACCGCTACAGAGACAGGATATTCTATACTGACAAAAATAGAAAGACAGAACACAAGAAAATAACGTAGAGAAAAGAAGACAGGGAGAAGGAGAAATTATTGTCGAAACTGCAGGATTCAAAATATATTGGGCTGCCAAGTGACCAGTCAGACCAGCCGAATTGATATCGCTAGTCCTCCGTATAGTTAGTTATGGGGGGTAGAAAGGAAGAATACATTGTCATATTCATTATTGACAGCAGTTTCAGTACATCGAGCTGTCTATTAGCCTCGAGTAATGGCCATC